CTGCTGGTAGATGCCACTGCAAGGGCACTCGGAAGCTTGAGCACAGCACGAGGGCCTGTGATTATGGGCAGAGAAGTGCAGGCTGACCGCCCTGGGAGACTCGCAGGGCTGAGAGGCTCGGTTGCTGCCTGTGTGCCTCCTGCCGACTGGTCATCCTATGTGTCTGGTGCCCTGAGTTGGCATTAAAGATGTGCAAGAGGTACCGAAGGCTCCAGAATCTCTTTCTGTCTGCCTAATCCACAGTGAACTTGTCCAGCCGGGATGGTTGCACAACCACCATTTTCTTCTCTTTCATGGCTCCCAGGCCTACTTAGAATAAAACAAATCAAGTATCCAGGAAGAAAATTAACATCTGAATTTATACGAAAGTGTCACAAGCATTATAACAATAATAAGTAAAGGTCAAAACACAGCATTACACACTTGAATGGTGAGCATTTCATTGTAGGTAAACTGTCAAAAAACCACAAATGCTGTTATCAGGCCCATGTTCAAGTCTCAATACAAACATTTCCTAATTAGGTGATTTTACACAAGGCCTCTCACCTTCTAGAACATCATGTCCTCTGTTACAAATGGGAAGTAATAATAGTACGCATATTGATATATGTATAATGTATGTGTAACCGTATACTATCAGACATGAGCAATAGCATGCTATTAAATATTAGTCTAATATACATTAGACTAACAGTATGTATAATACTAGTCTCAGATAACTGTGCAGATTAAATGAGATATGCAGAAACAGCACTTTGCACAAAACCTGGCGCAGGAGGTTAGGTGGCTATTACCTATTGTTTATTTACACTGATACTACCTGCTCACATTTACGTATGGGTGAAATTACTTGATTTGTTGCATGTGGACTCATTCTGGCTAGAGGCCTCTTCCCATATAGCCCTTCTGTTTAGATAGGAAAAATAAGGTTCAGAAAACAATTTATGGGGCTTGGGACCTGGAGCCTAGCTCTACCTCTGATTTATTAGGAACTTCAATTGCTGAGTCCCTCTGAGTCTTGTAAACTGTAAAATAATATATTAGTGCTATCCACTTGGTAGGGTTCTTGTGTGATTTATAACCAAAGAGAGACAGACAGGTCTGAGAATTCACACCTGCCTCACGTAGGAGCAGCAGTTGCACTAACAGAACCTGCCACCAGGCGGCAGTAACGTCACACCTAAGACTCCACCTACGAGAAGACTCATTTTGGAGGGGGGTTGGCATAACGTTTTTATTATGGAAAACTCAAAAACTTAAGAATATGAGGCTAATGTTTCCAGCAGCAAGTTTCAATATTTTGCCGTTCTTTCTCTCCTTTTTTTTTTGGTGCGCTGCTTGTGGAATATTTTAAAGCATAGTCCTGCCCCATACTGTTTTATTCATAATACATCAGTGTGCAGAGCTCATTGAGAAGTTTTTATTTCTATGCACTACATCATCATCACTCATAGCAAAACAAAAACAAAACAAAACACTATTTCCTTGATATAATCCTAACGAGGCTTTTGAATTTGATAAGTGTCTTAAGTTTTACGCTTTCACATTTTAAATTCCCTTATTTTCACATTCTATATTGCAGGTGCCAGGTCACTTGTCTGTAGAGTGTACCACATTTTTATTTTGGCTGATTGTGCTGTTTATCTAGTCCCCTATTTATGGAACATTGGCAATTAAAGCTTGGCTTGATTAGGCTTTTTTTTTTCAAGTAAGAATACCTCATTAAGAGCACTGTCTTGACCTCTTAGTGACTTTAGGACTAAGTGACTTAGTGACTTCGGTCAGTGGGTTTAGACTCTTCTGTTAGCCTAGTTGTCCACCACAGAGCACCCTAACAACTTTTCATCCACTTTCACAATTTGTTTCATGTTCATTACTTCATTAGGATTTACAAGATTATACTTATCTCATTCTATCATTTCCTCTGCAAACAAAAAACTCTTATCTAATATGTGGTTACCTGGAATATAACTCATCAAGGTTAAGAACCTAACAACGTTTGATTATTTCCTTTCATTTAAAAATGCTCAGGGGGGCCCTTCCTGGTGGCGCAACAGGTTAGGACACAGCACTGCAAGCTAGCAACAGCCACCTCAGTGTGAATTCAATCCCTGCCCCAGAGGTGACCCATATGGGACAGCAGACCTCTCCTGACCCACCCACTGCTCCCCTCAGCAGTGTTACTTCATCAGTCTGTGGGTTCTGCTCCCCACTCTATCTTTGGTGAATCCTCTCTGTATCCCGTTCTGCACCTCTGGCCTGTATCCCAGTTCTGTATGCATAAATAATCTTTAAAAATAAATAAAAATGTTCAGTGTAGTTGATTCCCTACAAAATCCCATTAGTAATAAATGTGTTTTCTAGTCATTAATGGATTTGTATACATTTTAGGTGTTAAAATCTATTGAAGTCATTATTTTTCTAAATCAGTTCTGGCCAGTGGGGTCCCTGTGTATTGGTCCTCAGTCAACTTTACATGACCCAAATAGCTTGTGGTTAATGTATATCTGCATCTCCCCAATACTTACACAGAAGCCAGCAGTCTTAAGTACTATAATGCACCTTATTTATTTCACTTAACAATATTTATGGCTGTCAACTGCATCTTAATGTATGCTTGTTAATGGAAGATTAATTAATATCTTCCAGCTGTATAGCACTCCATCCTATACTTGCACTATAATTTAGCCAGTTCTCTCTTGTTGTGAGCAGTTTCCTATAGGACTTGACCTACAACTACTGGGTGAAAATACATATATAACATGGCTATATACTGCCAAATTTCCTTGTGATAAAGTCCCATGATTTGGCCTATCTGCCAGCAATGTATGAAAATGCTACCCCAGGGTGTATTTGGATACCTTATCAGCTTGAGGAGGCTGGAGAGATGAATCACAGACAGGCTTCCTGGGACTCTTAGTCCAGTGGGACAAGCCTATAGGCAAACAATAATGATAATGCTATAATATGCAGGGGGCAGATTTACCCTGAAGTTAAAGGAGTTTATATTCAGAGTATCACAGGAGCTTCTTTCCAATGTGTTCACAGGACCATTTTGCAATCTTTTCCATATAGAGGTTACCCCAAATTATTTAAGATTTAGGCTCCAGGAGACATGAACATGCACTTCAGACTTTATAGTTAGTCTTTGGGGAGGTGTGGGATGGGCAGAGGTGGAGTTCAAGTCTTGGTTTTGAGAAAAGGGATTCTGGAGATTTAATGGCTGAAAAAGACAAAAAGAAAAAGCTCCTTAGACAAATAGCAATAGCCCTCTTCTGATCTGACCAATCACTCACAGGAGTGGGCCTCTGTCTCAGAGCCATCCCTGGAGAGTCCCTCTACTTCGAAGGGCATCATACTGACATCAGTATGTATGCCCGGCTGGTAGGTGGCACTCAGGACAAAGGCCTGAACAGATTACAGAGAAAGACTTCTGGTGGTGATGGTGGGAAAGATTAATTCCAGGGGAGTGGGTATTCACGGCAGGTTTCCCATAGAACAGGTACGTTTCCATCAAATAAGGTAGCAGTCTGCTTCCTCACTTGCAAAGCCCGGGTCAGTAAAAAGGCCTGTCGCGGTGGGAATGGCTAGGATTAGGCGAGATAATTTATATAAACTCTAACCGAAAGATTAGATCCATAAAGGGAGGACAAAAAACAAAATGGGGTCCCTCCCTGGTGGCAGCAAAGGGTTAAAGCACCAGGGGAGCTGATCCACATGGCAAGAGAGGTCTGCCCACTGCTCCCCTCAGCAGTGTATTTTAGTCCATCTGCCTCTTCTGCTCCCGGCTCTGTCTCTAGTGAACCCTCTCACCCCCGCACCTCTGGCCAGAACCCAGTTCTGTATGCATAAATATATATTTTTTAATAATAATAAATACAAAGGGTAACTGGTTGATCTTGGCCCTGGAGAGCAATGCCAGGGATTGTCTGTACACCGTGTGGTGCACCGCAGTGGGAGGTGGAACAACCCTTCACTGAAAAACAGTAGATGCAGAGTAAATCAGCGAAGCGCTGTGCGCTTCCAGCGGAAATTCAGAGACCCGCGTAACTGAGCACGCGGTTGCCGGGTCTCAGAGTAACTGGCGGCCGGCGCGGCTGTCAGGTGACGGCGTGCGGGGAACTGACTGGCGGGTGTCTGGAGACACAAGACGCGGCTGACCGTGTGGCCCCGACGTCTCCAGTCAGTCCCCGCTCGGCCTGCCGCCTGGAGCGTCCGAGCTGGACCCCAACTCGTCGAGGAGCCCGCGGTGCCGGGAGAGCGCACGCGGGTGCCGCCGCCCCTTCTTCCCCGCGCGGGCTGGAGACCGCCGACTCCCCGCGGCCGAGGCCCGGGAACAAAGCGGCGCCGGCTTCTTTAAGGGAGATACCACCGCGCGGCGGGGCAGGGGACGGCGTCTTCCCAGATGATCGCACCCAGCCCCGCGCCGCCGCCGCCTGGGCACCCGCGCCGCCCGCAAACATGGCTCAGTGACAAAAGGTGCAGCCTTCTCCGCGGCGGAGCGGCCCCCCGCCCCCCCAGCCCCGCCCCCGCCTCCCCGCCCGCCAGCCGAGCCGCTCGGCGTGCCGCGGCCACCCCAGGCCCGCGCCAAGGAAGATGCACCCGGCGTCCCAGCCCGACGACCTCCGCACACCTGCCCGCCGCAGGGTAGGTAGGAGGGGGACCCCGGGGGGAGGGGAGACCACGCCGGGCGCGCGCACCCCCAGGCTCGGACCTGCTGCCTCAGACCACGGCTCCGGTCTCGGGCCGCGTGCGTCCGCCGCGGCTGGAGGGCGACGGAGCCCTGGGCGTGGAGGGGCCTCCCCGCTCCCGGGCCCGCCACCCCTGCGGGGGGCGGCGCGAGTGGTGCGCTCCGGGGCGCGCACACCTCCGCGACTCCCGGCTCCTGGAAGCCACCGGAGAGGGGAGCGGCCGCGGAGCCCGGGCGCGCGCCCAATGGGAAGGCGCGGGGCGTCCCGGCCGGCGCTACGGAAAGCCGGAGGGGGGCGGGGCCGCGAGGCGTAAGGGGGTGTGTCCGCGCGCACCACGGGGGCGCGCGCCGGCCTCTGACTGGAGGCTGCGGCGGCGGAGGCGCGAGCTGCCCGATAATGGCGGCCTGCAGAGCCAGTGAGAGGGAGAAGCGGCGGCGGCTACCCTGAGGTAAATCTGGCCCTGCGGCCGGGCAGAGAGGCCCTGCTGCGGAGACCAGGGCCCTGCGTGTGCGTCTCTCCCGAGAGGCCTGTCACAGACCTGTCAGCGGAGTCATCCTGCGGAAGGCCCCGTGCTCCTCAGGCCTCCCTCCCGCAGCCCTCAGGCCACTGGCCCCGGCTGCGGCCTCCCGCTCGGGCCCCCGGCCTGGCCGCCGGGCCTGAGGAACTGCAGTGGCTGCCGGGCTGGTGTTCGGGGTGCAGGGCCTCGGGAGGATCCCCTCCGGGTGTCATCTGGTCCCTGCAAAGGAGGGGGAGGGCCTGCTACTTGGCCAATGAGCGGGGCTCTGAGCCTCCGCGTCGGGTCACACCTCTACCCAAGACTGGCCCTTCCGAGCCCCGCAGGTGGACGGCCGGCGGGCCGCGTTCCAGGCAGGATCCGCCCGCGCGCGGGAGCGCCCGAGAAATGCCTCCCGCCGAGACACTTCGGTTCCACGGGCTGCACCCCGCGGGCCGCGCGGGGCTGTGGTCCAGCACCTCAGGGCTCCTGAGCAGCCGCGCTCCCCCTCTGTGAGCCGGGTGCTCGCTGAATGGGGCTGCCTCCGAGGACCAGCCTCTCCATGAGCAGTAACTGGCATCCGCCGAGCGGGAGACGCGGTCTGTCTGTAGTGGGGGGCAGACGCCTGGGGCAGGAAGCCGGAGTAAGGAAAGGCGGGGAGGGCTGGAAGGGTGGGAGTCCAGTTAGAGGAAGTGGGGCTGAGGAGCAATCTCCAGAGCTTTCGTTTTCTTTATTAAACTGCCCTATGGCAGCTGTTCCCAGTTGCTTAGGCTCTAGGGACAGTGGCCTCTCTCTCATGCCCCACACTGCCCACTAGGGACAGTGGCCTCTCATGCCCCACACTGCCCACTAGGGACAGTGGCCTCTCATGCCCCACACTGCCCACTAGGGAC